GCTGAGCTGGAGACCATGGCGTTCCATTACTCCCTGCTTTTCCCCCACCCCTGAATGTGCTCTGGTTTTCGCCATCAGGCATTGAAGCCTCACCTTGCTCGCGGCCACACTTGAAGGCAGCCTTGTGGTGGTTTCCCTTTGATTCAATGAGGTCTCCCTCTCGCTTTCAGAAATACGAGACGTGTATGGGAAGGGAGGACAGTTAGAACTTAACAAAAGTCTGGTACTTTCCCAACAGGGGACTCTCTGTCCATGGACGTGTCTTCTGTGCACCACAACAATGCATTTCTGAAGTACTCTGTGTCCTTGCTGGGTTACGGTTTCTATGGAGACATATTGAGGGACAGCGAGAAAAAGCGGTGGATGGGCCTCATCCGATATGACCTTTCAGGTAACTCGAGGCTTGGGAGAAGCGGGGAGAGGAGAGTGAGACAGGGAGCCCACAGGGAGACCTGGGAGTGTGTCAGTGCGTGCACCGGGATAGCTGGTGGGGAGGGGAGGGGTTTTAAAAGAGAAGAAAATCCCATGAAATTATTTGTTCTGGGTGTAACAGACCTTTCTTTTTTTCTTTTTTTAACTTTACTTTTTTATTAATTTATTTTGATTTATTAATAATCATTTCCATAAGCTTTTGAGTTTTAAATTTTTCCCCTCCCTCCCCACCTCCCTCCCCAAAATGGCATGCAATCTGATATAGGCTATACCTATACATTCCTGTTAAACATATTTTCACATTAGTCAGATTGTAAGGAAGAATTAGAAGCAATAGAAGAAACCACAGGAAAGAGGAAACAAAACAACACAGAACAGAAGAAAAAAAATTGGCAAATAGTAAGCTTCGATTTGCATTCAGACTCATAGTTCTTTCTTTAGATGTGGGTAGCATTGTCCATCATGAGACTTTTGGAGATGTCTTAGATTCTTGCATTGAACAGCCCTTTCTGTAAGTAACATCTGAGTCCTCAGCTCCAGCAGCCTCTCTTTTGATGGGCCTGGCCTCTGAGGGTTAGAGGTGAGAGGTGACTTGCAATCGCTTGGGGGGAATAGTCGAATTGGAGTATCCTTTACAGCTTTTATCCTGACTGGTTCATCAGGGTTTTCCAGTTTGGTGACCCCCCTGGTCCTGATCTGTGCTGGAGAGAACGATCTCTGGGTAGCATTCCATGGCGCCGTGCTGCAGATGTTCGTTACTTTACTATTTCTCAGTCTGAGCCTTCTCAGCCTCTGCCCTCAGTGCTGGGCACTGAGCTAGATAACAGTTCTTGGGTCAGTTTTTCACAAACACTGCATGAACATGGGTTGATTTTCTTGTAATTCCAAAAATTAATAAAGAAAGAACTCAGAAATGAAACAGAATTCCCCAGATTGTATCTGAAGGATCAATTTCTCTGTATTTTAAGTAGTGGTGGAATGTCGTATCTTTTCTGTTCTTGCACATTAAACAGTTAAGAAACTAGAAGGGGGAGCATTTTAGGAAGGGAGGGTGAAGGTTGACTGTCCTCATTCTTCATCTGTGCAGTCAAGCCCACAATTCCTATAGACCCTCCGTCCACTCTTGCAGACCTCTCTTGGGCCACTTAGTACATGGGAAATTTAAGTTGACCGATGCCATTGGCTGAGAACTTGCCTTCTTTGAGGAGAAATCGTTAGAACTAGGCTGAACCTAACTTAAAAAATCAAATCAGATTAAAGAGTGGCTTTAGGATGAAGAAATCCACGCAGTACTAAAGGCCATGGCCCCCTGTTAGAGGCCTCTTTGGAGAAGGTGCTGAGGAGGGGCCGGCACCAAGGGAAGACCTTATGCTCCACCCTGCGGCTGCTTCCTTCGTCCATCTGTTTGGTGCAATGCCCTTCCTTCTTTTCGGGTGAGAAGGGGTTGGTCAGCCCTGGAGAAGGTTGTGACATCAGGCTGCCTGTCTCCATGCCAGCTGAAGTCATGCCTCCCTCATCCTTCCCTGGCCCTCTCATCACTGCTCTTTTTCCACACCTTCTCCTCCCTCCACAAGCCTCCTAGGCCCTTCAGCTGAAAAGTCCGGAGGCTGGTCCCTGAGAGCTCCCTCCTTTCCCTTCCTGCCAGGACCCGTCCCTCCACGTGCCCCAGTGATCACATTGCATTCTGTCTCCACCAGATTGCCCCTCTTCTCATCCCCCTCTCTCCTGCATCCAAACATGCCCATGTCTCCCCATCCTCAAAACCCTCACTTGCCCCTGTCATCCCCTATCTCTTCTGCCCTGTGTGGCTAAACAGAAGGCCATCTACCCCAGGTGCCTCAGTTTGTCCTCTCACTCTTGTCTAAACCTGCTGCGGCCTGGCTTCTGACGTCATTCCACCAAAGTTAGCAGGGATCTCTTGGGCCCTTTTTTCTCCGTCCTTAACCGTCCTCCTTGACCTCTCTGCAGCCTTGGACATCATCTCTAGATGTCCTTACGCACTGGGGTGCTGTAAAGCTTGCTTTGCTCTGGTTCACATCGAACACCTGCCTTTTCCCTCCTCGTTTTCACCATGGATCCCTGGCCATGCTCAGAAAGGTTTGATCACAAAGAGAAAGCCAGTGTGAGGCTCTCTAAAGGACCCAGGCATTTGAACCCCCCTCTCAGCAGTGCGCCCTGCCTGGAGAGATCTCAGGACTCAGAATGTTTGGATGTGGTGGCCCTTCAGAGCCAGGTTTCTGTGTTTCATCTACGTTGCCGTCATTCCTTCCTCCTGAGGCCCCGTGGCCCCTGTGGCTGGTTCCACTGTTGTCCTGATGAGAATAATTTACTCCACAAATGCCAGCGCATCTGTCCCCCTTTGAATCTCCTCTGTCTTTGTGTCAGGGAGCACCCTGCGTTTGTGGAAGATGCTGCAGAGTTGTCCAAGTGAAATCCAGCCCAGGCTAGTGCCCTTCAGTTTGCAGCAGCGCTGCCTTTCCAAGAAAGATGCCCTGTCAGACTAGCTCAGTGATTCCCTTCTGGTTATGCGTCCGTGGAAGGCCTGCTTGGTCCCTTTGGTTTCCCCTTTGTGCAGTGTTCAGGTGCTCCCCTGTGGGGCGCCACGGACCTCAGGACGAGCCCTTACACCTTCTGGGGCTTGGTGCAGTCAGCACCAGTGAGGAAGGGGGACGGATCCTTGCAGGCATGGTTCAGCTACATTCTGAAAGTGAGGTAACAGAGAACTTTTCCTTGGGAGTTTTACGTGATGATCACTTCTGCCTGTAAATCCTCCTCTCCCACTTCTCCATCCCAGAATTTAATCCTCCTTTGTAACAAAGGAAAATAACGAGGCAGAACCATCCGCCCCAGGGACGCTCGGGTAGCCAGCCTCAGCGTCAGCGGCTGGCGACGTCCTGGCTGCTCAGGCTTCCGAGCCCCATCTGTCTTCTGTTCGCTGATGGTGGTGCAGTCACGGGACGGGCTCTTCTCCTGCTCCTTCTCATTCTGCTGTCACAGCTCACGTGCAGCTCTCTGTGTTTATCTGAATGACCCACGTTACCATGGTCATCATTATCGCCTCTTACTGCCCAGTAACCTCCCGGCACATTTCTGCACCTCAACTGGCTTAGCTCTTCCTCTCTGGCTCTGTTACTGCAGAAGTTCTCCTGTGGGTGTTGGGGTATGTGGGGGCTTTTGAGTGTTTGACCCCCTTGGGGTTAAAAAGTCTCTCGTAGCATGAAGTTTGGGAGGGGGCTAGATGAAGCGGCATCCTCAGGACACTGGGGGCCACGGTCCGAAGACTTGGGAGCTTGTCTAGTCCAACGTGATGAGTCAGGATTTTTGAGAGTGCGCGTCACATTGAAGGCTTGGCAGATTCCACTGAACTCTCTTCCATTTTATTTTTAGGTTTTAAGACCTTTCTTTCTCATCATTGCTATGAAGGAACGGTGGCCTTCCTGCCGGCGCAGCACACCGTGGGTTCTCCACGAGATAAGAAGCCCTGCCGAATGGGGTGAGAGAATCTTTTGTGCTCATTTCCACTGGAGGCAGCAGCATGTGCTGGGGTCAGGAAACCCTGGGCGTTTGGATCGGGCCCAGCAGCCATGGCCTCCCAAAGGCCGCCTCCCCCTTCCCTTCCCTTCCGGAAGCCAGCGCTGTCTTGGAACAGAACAAAGCCCGACTTTCCCTCGTGGGCCCTCAAGCTTTTCACTGATGGTCAGCGTCCACTTCAGGGAGGAGGAGGGTGGATTGACGTTTCTGGAGGAAATCAGTGCTCTAGTGTTTTTTAAGTTTGGGGTTAGAGTTTGGCTTTCATAGCTCTGTGGAGGGTGGGTTGGGTCCGAGGGAGGCCAGGCGTGTGATGATGATGAGGGCCAAGCCCCGTGGATGCCGAGGTGGTGCCCGAGCCCTTGGAGCAAGTGCTGCTCTCCCGCATCCTCCTGTGTACACACACAGACACACACACACACAGACACACACGGTGGACGCCCTCCCAGGCTGTTCTCTCTGTCAGAGCAGACAGTCCGAGCTTGCTGTTTCCTTGCGTCTGCCAGTCCTCACAGCACAGGCTCCTTTAGGTTCTCTGTGGAGGAGCGTCTGTGGCGCCAAGTGTCTTCTTTCTGGTTTGTTTCTGGGGCCGTCCGTGTGCGGGACTGACCCACCCACGCTGGTCTGGACGAAAGTCCGAGGGCCTGAGTCCTCGCTCTGCCCGTTAATGACCTGTGTGGCCTTATCCGTGTTGTGACCTCTCGACTTCTTCTAACTAGCCGTGCGGCTTCCGAGCCGGGCCACGGGGGGCCAGGCTGCAGTGAGCCTGGAGAGGAGAACAGAGCAGTCTTGAAGGGTTCTCAGGCGACTGAAGAGCTTCTGCTTGGCCCCTGGGGCCAGACCGAGGAGTGGGGTGGAGGAGGAGGTGCAGGGGGGCAGATGGAGACCCGCACCTCAGTTACCTTAATTAGCTTGTGTGACTCTTAACCTTCTCAGCCTCGGGTTCCTCATCTGTGAGACAGCCCCTGTCTCATAGGGTGTGTGTGAGGATCATGGCAGAGGATAGACGTGAAGTTCTTTGTACACCTGAAAGGGCTATCTCAGGGACCATACTGAGAGCCGTCCCAGGGCGGGACACAGTGACTGTCAGGTGCCAGCCGGGCTGCAGGAGGTGCCTCGCAGACTGGGACGGGCTGGTTCTGTCGGAATCTGACAGCACAAAGAGCATGCTTTAGAGAGGGTCAGTTGGGCATAGTGGATGGACAGACTGCTGGGCTGGGGGGGGCAGGAATGCCTGGCTTCAGGCCCTGCCCTTCACCTCCACGAGGCTCCATCCGGACTCTCCTAATACTCCTCTTTGATCCTGAGTCCCTATGTGCCATGGGAAGCTCAGCCGTGCCTCTGACCTGGTGTCTCTGCGGAAAAAAAGGGTCCCTGTGGGATTTACAGCTGTCCTTCAGGATGTGCCTAGCCCTGACTGGAGGTGTTTTTGTGAAACCTTTTAAATTGGAGTTTTGGTGTACGCAAGGTGAACTGTGCTCCCAATTTCTAAGTGTTGATGTTAATGTTAAACACACTCCTTTCCTGTCTTTCAGGTGTTTCATTTGCAGGCAGAGTAAGCAGCAGCTGGAAGATGAGCAGAAAAAATCTCTGTACGGCCTGGAAAATGCAGGTAAGTCCTCGGAGAAGTAAGCCTCTCTGCCATCTGATGGCCTCCTCCTCCTCCTCAGGGTCCCCAGAGGCCTTTCCTGCCAGCACGGGGAGGGGGGAGTGGGCTCTTTGTGCTCACCTGCCTCCAAGGAGCCCGCCCTGAGCTTCCTGTCCACCCCATCGGGGTGCCGGTTTGGGGCTGCACACGCAAGTGCAGCCGTGACACGGTCATCCTCTTCTTACATCTTACGAGGCTGGCGGAGAGATGAGGTCCCTGCACACATTTCTAAAATGTGCGTTAAGACAAGCGCATTGCATTGTAATGAGAAGCACAAAAAATGAAAGCTAGCACTTGCTGTCCATTCTTCCCCACAGAGATGATTGTTAGGCCCCCAGAAGGCTGACGGTTGACTTGGGTTCTTAACCTATGGACAGGTCAGGTGGTCACATGCCAGGTCAGCTGACCTGCCATTTGAACAGCATATTGGGTTTCATGAAAAATGATGTCATTTTTCTTAATTAAAAAATCATTAGTATTCTCATATTTTGGAAAAAGATCTTTTTGAAAAGGAATTCTTGTGGTTTTCTGATCAGGAGGAAGAAGGCTTTTAGGGAAGGGAGGCCGTGTGGAAGCGCCGGTGTTCTGTTGGGGTGTGAGGGAGCAGCTTCTGGAAGACAGATCAAGCCTGGGGAGGCCGTGGGCAGGTGGCGGGTTTTCTGAAAAGCACCTTTAGGAGCATTTCCTTTTAGGAGCTCTGGGAGAGGAGCGGGCTCTGGTGGGTGTAACTGCAGACCCTGAGGTTGGAGGGATGGAGTGACTTTCCCAGGGCTCTACAGTCTCTGTCCCTGCCCTGCTGCCGCTGAAGGGTGAAGCCGACGATTAGGAAGGGAAGGGGTTCACGGGCATGGGGACGGGAGAGACGGGGAAAGGTCAGGAGTTTCCGGGAGGCCTCTGCTCCCTTGAGTGTCTGCATACCTGGGGGGACTTGGATAAGTGTCTGTGCCACGACAGTGCCCCATGTCTGCCCTGCCCCCCACCCTCGCATCTCCTGATTTCCCTGATCCTGCCCTCTGCAGGAGGCCTGTCCTGTGAGGCCATCGTCTGCTTGCCTGCCATGTGTTCTGGCATCCTCGCCAGACAAGGATGGCTCGTTTCGGCCTCTGTCTCTCAGCACTCAGCAGTGCCTGGCACACAGTAAACGCTTGTTGACTGAGTTAGGAAAGGGGGAGGTGCAGGCAGGACAGGAAACTTCAGACATTGCCAGGACCTGACCATTCCCTTTCTGCCTCAGCTTTGTCCCACTAGATCCTCTGACAGCCCCAGGGAAGAAGTCAGGCATCTGTTCTCCTTTGTCACATGATCCACCAGGGTTGTTTTGCTCATATTCATGCTGGGAAACCTCCAGAGCACTTGGGGACCGAGGGGACGGCTTTGGTGAGCAGCTGTGGCCAAACTCACTCTTCCCCTGGTGGCTGACTTTCTGGGAGGAGCCTCGCCAGAGGCTGGCCCTGGGTTCTTTTTGGTCGAGAATGACTGAGGAGGGCATCTCCCAGCAGGCCTGGCCTGGGCCGAGTCACCGTGGAAACGATGCCTCCTGTCCCCCGTGGCCTGCACTTGTTGGAGGTGGGGCAGTGTCTGTCACTGGAGGGCCCCGGCAAAGGCTGGTCAGCCGTTCATCAGGTGTGGCCTCCCGTTCTGTGATCGTGTTCTAAGATCCTCCCTTTCTGGGTCTTTTTGTTTTTGCATCTCTTTGTATGACGAACACTGAGTCTTACTGGATTTATGTCCAGTCTTATGTACCCTGTTAAACTGTTAAGTTTCTCAAAGGCAAGAACCCCCCTGGTTCCAGTTGTCTCCATCCCCTCCCTCACCCTCCCAGGGTTGAGGTCCTCTTTGTCTGCTGTCTTGGCTAAGGCAACATTTAGGACCCAGTTACACGGCGTTGATATCACCTATTGACATAGTGACCTCCCTGGCCCCCAGGGCAGCTCTTGACAGAGGAAAATCCCCCCTCAAGGGAACCGACTACAGCAGGACCCTCGCTCTGGAGCAGAAGCCTCACCAGTTAGAAATGGGTCACCTTGCTCTCTTTCTCACCAATGGCCCAAACCCTTGGGTGGCTAAAAGAGGCTCCTCCTTTAGGTGCCTGATGAGAAGATGTTGTGGAAAACAAGGGCATCCCCACTTCCCTCTGAAATCTTTTGGGGGAGTGAAGGTTTGTTAAGCATCAGCCAGCGTATTTGAAAAGTCTTTGCGTTCCCAGGAGATGGGACTGAGTGAATCTGTAACACTGGTTGGAGGCACATTGCAAAGGAATTCTCCAAGCAAGGTCATGTTTCCATCTTTTTGTTTCTAAAAACACATTTTTTTTTAAATAAATGTAGCATTCAGTATCTAACTCATTCCCAGTTAAAGGCACACATACTTAGTTAACTGTGGTGTTCTCTGCTATGTGTACAATAAACCCTCAGTATTAAAATAGCAGTTTCAGAGTTTAGAACTTCTCTATTTTAAAAGTTTGATATATTCTTTAAGATCAAAAAAAAAAAACAATTTTTAAAACATAGCATTTTGATTGTTTTTTTTTTTCTTTTTCTAATTGTCTATTGTAGCAGTTTCTGGGCAGTAAACCATACGAGAACTGCTGTAACTTGATGAAATCCCTAAGAAGTTTAAATAACCATAGAAATTCATATGTGTATGGAAAATTTATTTTCTGTCATTTTTTTTTACCTTAGTCAAAATACTAGTTTATAAGCTATAGGCCCTGACTTAGGCTGGTCTCTAGGCCAAGGGTTCTTAATCTTTTGGGGGGAACGGACCCCTTTGGCACCTGGTAACACCTTTTCATAGTAGTATTTTTAAATCCGTAAAATAAAATGCATAGAGTTACAAAGGAAATGGATTGTACAGAGATAAGTTACCAATGTTTTTTAAGTTCCTGGTTTTCAAATTAGGAACCCATGCTCTAGACTGCTTTATTTACATTGACTGTTATCTCCACTAAGAAGTGTCAGATCAGGAAGTCACCAGCATTTATTAAATTCCTACTGTGTGCCAGGCTCCCTGCCAAGACCTGGAGATACACAAAAAAGGCAAAAACATGGTGCCTGCCCCCCAGGAGCCCACATTCTAGTAAAGGAGACACCATGGGAACAACGAGGTAGATGCATGCTATACACGGTGTAAGTGGAGGGCAGTCTTGGGGAAGGAGAACCAGGACAGGCCTCTCGGAGGGCCTCCGGGGAGGCCAGGGACGCCAGAAGGCGGAGAGCGTAGAGGACGTGGTGGGGAGTCGGGTGTAAGAAGCCTGGGGAGCCAGGAGGGGGCTGGCCTAGGAAGGGTTTGAACGTCCAGCAGAGAAAACAAAAAACCCTCCTGAGTCTCGCCAGAGGAAAGGGAAGAAGCCGAAGCTGCTAAGAGACTTGTGGTTTTTAGAGCATCCGTGAACACCGCACCAGCTATTCTGAGTCCAGATCCTCGTCCCACACGTGGATGGGCGTCATGCCCGCAGAAATGAGTCCTGATGATTTTGAAATGCAGCCAGAGGAGGGGGAGTCAGAGCTGAAAGAGAGACGGAGGCCAGTGAGATGAAAGAGTTGGCTTTTGTGCAGCAGAGCCACGAGGAAGCGGCATTTCACGGGCTGTGAGGCCTGTTGGACTCTTCTTGGGGTTCACCATTTCCTGTTCCAGTAGATTAAGGCAGACAGGGTGAAGTGACTTGCCCCAGGTCACACAGCCAGTACGTGTCTAAGACCAGATTTGAACTCGGGTCTTCTTGACTCCATGCCCAGCCCTCTATCCACTGAGCCACTTAGCTTCTCATTTCATGGGACATTTCATCATCTCTCATTGCCGTGTTCATGGTAAGTATTCACAAAAAGACCACGAGAAAAATAATCACAGTTTCTTTGCCAACATCTGTTGCAGAGAATGAGGAGGTAGAGAAATTCTACAAAAACTCCGTAAGATCCTTCAAATTAAGTCCAACGTATATTTGGATACCTGACCACTTCCATGCAAACAGGGAAGGTGCTGAAAAGAGCTGTACAGGGGACTACCTCGGAGGCCCCTTCTGGCCATATTTCTGTGACTGATTTTCGAAAAGATGGTTCAGGACTTAGGAAGGCTTGTAGCCTACAGAGCAACCTCATCCCTACACAGCCTCAAATACTGGGTTCCAGAAAAAGAATCAGGTGCCGGACATGTTACGGACCAAGTAAAACCTTTGAATTCACAACCTGGTACTGATGTCCTCCCAAACTGTGTCTCTGTATCCGGCCCAATGACCGTCCTGAGAGAGCAACTGGCAGCATCAATGAAGAAAACTAGGAGACAGAATGAAGTAATAGGGGAAAATGGATGCAGTGAGACCAGCTGTGACTGAAAGGGGCGAGGGGCAGGAGCATGGCGGCCTCGGGCCACATGTGCACCATTCCCTCAGCAAGTTGAATCAGTTTCAATCAATTACTGTAACCAAGAGGCCAAAAGAAGCTGAAGTGAGACTCGGGAAGCAGAATCCTTGCAACCAGAGACAACCGTTCAGAGTATGGACCTGTTTAGGACATCGGATGGAGAAGGTTGGAAGAAGATTATCAGCAGCGCACCTCATAGAACAAGAAGCAGAGGCAGTAAAAACCAGTTTAAGGAAAACTTGGCAAAAGACCTGGGTTGTGCCAAGGTCATAGGAGGAGGAAATGAGGACAACAGATGGAAATGGGGAAAGAGCTAGAAGGGTGTTTATGACAAACTCTTTTCACCATCCGGGCCGTTGGAACCACCATGCCCAGACACTGCTACCATATTCCTGAATGTTTCCCGAGGAAGTCGGAAGGTCATTGATAAAAACAAAAGTGGAAAGGAAGTTCGAGGAGACCAGTGTACCCAGGGAAGGTCCGTGTGGAAACCAGGCTTGGAAGAGTCTTGTCTCTTAGGACTAGGAAGAACAATGAGGGCAGCTGAGAACATGAGGCGTGGCTGAGCCAGGAGTGGAGAAGATTGTGCCTGCCTCCCAAGCAGCCTTGGGGAGGGTGCCAGGATGGGGCAGACGAGCTCAGCTGCAGGCAGAAGCGTGTAGGAGAGAGGATGGTGTCTCTGCTGCGTGTGTTCAAACCCAGGAATTCCCTCCAGCTTCCTACAGCTGCAGGTTGTAGAGGAGGTGCTGCCCGCAGCAGGAGAGGCGGTGTCCTCAGCTGGGAGTTACAGGCCCAGACCCCCTTCCTCTCCCTCTGCCCAAATGCTCAGCATCCTCCCAGCCCCACTTCCCCGTCTAACCTCTTTGCCAGCTGTACTATCAGGTCACTGTTTGCCATTTCCCAGCCTCGCCTTACGTTCTCCCGCCTTCCCACTTCGTGCCGTCCTCATCATCTTCCTTCTCTTCAAGGCCAAGCTCCAGGGTGACGCGGCCGCTGCAGTGATGAGCATGAGACCAGCTCAATGCTCTGTAACCCCGAGACGCCTGGATGAGGCGGGAGACAGCAAGGTGGCAGAAGCTCTGTTTATTGAGTGCAGTTAGCTGTCTTTTATGGCCCTAGTGATGCATGTTCAAAGCGTGATCCCCCTGTGATAGCCAATCATCAGGTCTGCTGGAGCCCGTGTCAGGACTCATCTCCCAGTGAGAGGAGAGCCAAACCAACCGTGGGAGCTGCATGTCAGCAAGGGAGAGGTCCTGGGAGACTTCCTTATTTTTGCCACGCAACTATGTTGTGACCCTCAGCTTCCACTGATAGAAGCTAGAACTCCCATGGGAAAGTTCCCTCAACAGAGTTCTCATGAGACCGTGAGACATTCACCCTAACACCAGGGTCCTGGACTCTTTGTGCTGTGTTGCAGCAGGGCCTTGCACATAGTAGGTGCTTCAGATCTGTTGGCAGTATTGAGTTGCATGTTGCAGCTGGAAGTGGGTTTAGAACATGGCGTGGCGGCGGGCAGCCTGCGCTTTTTACAGCCCAGGCAATGGGTGCCGCAGGCCCGGGGTCCTCTAACCACCAAGGCCTCTTGTCATTCCAGAGGACGTAGAAGAGTGGAAGGTCATCCAGGGGAAGTTCCTGGCAATCAACGCAGCCAACATGAGCTGCGCCTGCCCTCGGAGCCCCAAGGGCCTGTCCCCGGTGGCCCACTTGGCCGACGGCTCCTCGGACCTCATCCTGGTCCGCAAATGTTCCCGGTTGAATTTTCTGAGGTATCTCATCAGGCATACCAATCAAGATGACCAGGTAGGCGTCCTGGGGGCTGGGAGCATCGAGTGCTTTTGATTTCTCATCTCATTGTGCGAGTCATTTGTTTTTGTGTAATTGTGTGCTTTCGAGAACAGGTCAAAGGGATGCCTCTGTGGAGCATTCCCTTAATTAGGAGGAGTGACAGGAAACTTGAACCCATTTGTCAAAGACTCTTTTTCTAAAAAAGGACGTTTAAATGAAGATGTGTTATGTCCCTCTTTCACTGTGAAATATAACAGCTCTCAGTGTCGGTGCTGTTTGTCAGTCTCCTTAAGATCTTGTCAAACCCTGTTAAAAGTAGCAACTATCTTTTCATTTTAAAAAAAAAATTGGCCTTTTACGAAAAGTAGGAAAAAAGATTTAAGTCTTGGTGAATTTTTTCTCTACTTTGACTGACCCTTTTCACATTTATTGGTAACCCTGTTGCATTTAACAGAAGTGAGATTCAGCCATCCAGCATTCATTTCGAATACACATACAGCCGCCATAAAACAGGGCCTGCTCTATGTATTGCCTTCATGGCCCCGGGCTTTGGTCCATAGGATGGTTTAGGATGGGGTCAGGTAAGGAAGCAGCTCTGGAATGTCTTTGGCTTTTTGGTGAGGCAGTTGGGGTTAAGTGACTTGCTCAGGGTCACACAGCTAGTAATGGAATGTCTTACCTTGGCTCTTTCTTCCCAGTATGCCTGCTCAGCCCCAAGCCCCACCCCAGAGCTTTTGCTCACAACAATATAATAGAGGCCAATGGCACCAGTTGGCTCACTGCCTTCCCCGTGGTGTCGTTCCTGGCTAGAGACTTGAAGTTTCTTTGAATTCCTCATAGGCGCATTTCTCAGGGTACAGCAGCATCCCCTTTCTTCACAGTTACTCACTGCCGCTGGTGGTCCTCCTCGTCCTTTGCCCTCCTCAAGTATGTCCCTCGTGGGGGCATCACTGGGGCGGAGGGCTGGAGGCTGTGTAAAGTCAAGTGACTTTTTCATATGATCCCCAGTAGCTTCCCGGGATGGTTGTACCAGCCCACGGCAGGAGCTTAGTGGCAGGTGCTAGATTGAAGGAACCGTGAGGCTGAGGGGCGGGACGGTGGGACCTTCCTGGAGGAGCAGGGTTCCAGCACAGGCTCAGTTTTCAGGAGGAGTTTTGCACACAGCCTGCTGTGTGATTTTGTTTCAGCCCTAAGACGCAGCTCAGAGAGCTGCTTCGGGTGATTTTTATGTGGTCATTGGCTCCTCGGGCCCGTTGAGAGGCTGTGCCAACAGCTGCTCTGGCCTAGTGAGAAGGGAGGCTGCTCGCTAAATGGATTCCGGAGGGCAAGTCTGGAAGGCCGGTGTAGTCCAACTGGGGCACAGGCCTGGATTCGAGGTGCTGGGACTGAAAGCGTCATCCTTCTCCCCAGCCAGAATGATCAGCCGACCTAGAAACCAGACCAGCAGGCATATGCTCTCTAGGGAAACGGCTCTGTTTTTTAAATGAAAGCTGACATGCCACATGTAGTCATGGAGGACTTAAGGATTTTTTTCAACGCACAATTTTGCTTTCCAAACACACAAAATTTAAGGACGTAATTATCCCATTTACTCTTGTTTTGTAGTTTGACTTTGCATTTGTTGAGGTTTACCGGGTGAGGAAATTTCAGTTTACGTCAAAGCACTTGGAAGATGAGGATGGTGATCTCAAAGATCTAGGGAAAAAACGATTTGGGCAGATCTGCAGTGATCATCCGGCCTGTTGCTGCACTCTTCCTAACAGTACCTGGAACTGTGACGGAGAAATTCTGAACAGTTCTGCTATTGAAGTCAGGTGGGTGTCTCCCCTCTGTGTCCCTTCCTCCCTCGGGCCAGGTCGTTAGCAGACGCTGACCGGGCGCTTGTGACGAGCAGCCGCAGTCAGGAGCCTCGGATTGGAGCCTTCAGTCTGCCCCTCATGGTCACAAGTCCCGGCCCCTCTCTGAGCATCAGCTGCCCCCGTGTCAGGCCCGGGCATGCTCCTCCAGCCCCTTTATTTAGAAACAAGGGGACCGATTTCCTGCTAGGCTAGAGTGGACGGGCTGGACGGGATCTGGGACCATGCAGCGCCTTCACAGCGCTCTGAGCTGGCGCTGGGAAAGAGGAAGAGGCCTGCCCTGGCTCACTCGGCTCCCAGCTCTCTGGGGCCGGCCTGTGCCATCCCCCTCCCGCGAGCTGACCGCAGACAGTCTCCAGACTCAGCGCGGGGACTCACGCGGTCCCTGTGTCGGGATTGATCTCTCCCGTGTCTTTGCTCTCAGGGTTCACTGCCAGCTGTTGCAGCTCTTTGCCCGTGGGATTGAGGAGACCCCAACGCGGGAAGCCCTCGGCTGAGACACTGCCGCCGGCGGAGGCCTTGGGGTGCGGCCAGCGCTTGTAAATCTTCAGACATGTTTATTAGAAAGCATATTGCAGACCAGTTCTGTTGGTGCATACACACATTTGAAATTTGGAATTTATTTTTGATAGTTAAATGTTGATTTTAGAAAACTGCCTTTTTTCCACAGTGTCTGTACATCCTGAGCATTTTACAAGGTGAATCATCGGGCCTTGGCCACAGTGAGGAGGCGGGCTGGCAAAGGTGTTCATGATGGCGATGGCGCCGCCCGCCTTTCTGAGGGGCCTGATGTGCCATAGGCCTGAGATGACGGGAGTCCTGTCCATCAGCCACACACCACGGGGAGGCCGGAGGGCAGGTGGCGGTGATGGGGGAAGGGCGCGGCCTTCCTTTTCCCCTCTCCCCATTCAGGGCTAAGGGGATTTTCCTTGAATCTTTCTGCAGTGTGGTAAATTCTGGCCTCTGGTAGATACTGGTACTTAAACAATCATAATTCATGATTCATCTTCCAACGTTGTGTTTTCATGACGACTATTTCAGCTGACGGCAAGTACTTCCGAGTGTGTTGGCAGAAACAGGTCACGGAGCGCTCGGCTCTTAAGGCAGAAAAACAGGCACTCGCAAACTTCATTTTTTTAAAAAACCCAACATTTGGGATTCCAGACGTTGGTGCTTTGTGTTGATGCAGGCCAAGTGGTTAAAATAACATTCATTGTGCTGCTGAAGCTGGTGGTCAGTAATCAGTAATCAGAAGTTCACCGTGTGAATTGTTTTCTTGTCAGTGATGTTAACTGCATGAGTGAGTGCAATTGTTCCCCTGTGTGTGTCCATTTGCATCACCTTTGTGTGGGTGCCTGAGGCCTGATTGTTGGAATCTTACCTGCCTTGCTTATCTCCGTATATTTATTGGAAGTTTTGTCCTTTTCAGCCCCGGTACTGTGTGTCATGGGGGTTTTCAGTGTTTATGTTTTGTCCACACACCATGATTAATTGTTCATTTACTGCTGAAGCACTTGAAAGTATAATTATCAGAGGAACCAAATTTTTCAGTGAAGGCATTCCTCAAGGAGCAGCAGAATTACTAAATTGTGTCCTCGATCATTGTTTTATTCTCATTCATAGTTATGAATATGATAAAATGTATGCAAAGTAGACTCTGTTAAAGTACAAGACGACGAGCTTAGAGTCGCGTGCGTGCGTTCTCATAGTGAAATACTTGACACAGCTTTTACAGAATTAGGCTATTTTCTGTACTCTTCTAGAATCTGTAACGGATGGGTTTTTACCGATTCAGTTAGGTATTTAGACAGATTTAACATGCATCACGTAATATATTTTTAGAATTTACTCAAAGCAGTTTAGGCTTCTGAAGTAGACATCGCTTGCCTGTTGTATCAGTAGGTCCAACCCTGGGAAGGGGAGGGAAACCTTACAGTCAATTCATGAAAACACGAAGGTTTCCAGGGTAAAAGAAGTGGTCAGGTGGCCCTCAGGCTGGAATCAGTCGTCTGGATCCAAACAAACCAGGGCTGTGGTTTCCAGGAGTTCTTTAGAACGCTTTCAGCCTGCTGACCTCTAAGATCCCGAGGGCAGGGACCATGTCTCCTACTTGGGCATTCCCTTCCTTCTGCCCAGATCTCGGCATGCCTGGCACAGCGGGCACTCGGGCAGCAGGCATCAGTCTTGGCACCATTGACTGTCTCATTCAGCCTGTTCCTGGGATGGTGACGGCCCCACAGAGTGACCGTGGCCATCGTTCCCATTCTTGCTGGGAATTCCCCACGTTCCTGGTGACTGCCTTTACGGGATGCCAAGTCACACTCTACACTTGAACAAGCCTTTTTTGTGAAAATGGCAGGTCAGCCTGCTTTAGGTCTTTCCTTCTGACTCCAAAGGAGTCTCCAAAGGGGGCATTGCCCCACTAAGAAATCCAAGCCTACGACTGGTCCGCCTTGCCAGTTTTAGGGTGATCGTTTGAACCACTAACGGAGGAAGCACTCGGTCCAGAAAAAGGCCTGGTCCACATTCCCCACTTTGCCAAGGTGGCTTCAGTTTGGAGCATGGCCTCACAAACAAAGACTTGATCTAGAGGATTATGAGACTGGATATTCCCCTACCTTCCCCTCTGTCCCATTGGAGATAGCAGAATCCTCACTGATGGTTGGTTTGTAGATTGTCTTGTGCAATCCAAACCCCTGGCATTTGGCACCTGGGAGGTGAGCCGGGGTTTTGTCAGTGTGGTGGTAACAGCGACACCTCCCGCTCACAATATGTTTTGTGCAGCCCCTCCCTTCCTGGGCACTGTCTTCTCTAGCAGGTGGGCCTTGGCTCCAGCCCCCCAGCCTGACCTTGTCCTAGCCTGGGAGCCGAGGGCCGTCCTCTGCCTGTGGGGCAGCATCCAAGGGGGGCTGTTAGCCAGGGACACACTTGTCAGGAGATGATGGGCTGTGGCTGTACACATTCTTGCTAGTTTTCATTAAGAAATGGGCTTTGCAGTTGTGCCCGCGTTTATCTGAAAACAGTTATGAATTTAATCCTTAAGTACAATCATGGGGAGAAAGAAATTACCGATGGAAAAACTTAAGTTTAATTTTCTGTCTAATCTTGCTGGTTTCAAGATTAGAAGAGGGTATACTTAATGTTCTGATATGTTGAGAGAACTTTGAAAAATAAAATTATGTTGGACAGGATTTGACTTTTTTCTTGCTTGTGTTGAAAGTTCTTATTCAGAAAAAACAAAAAACCACATGAGTTTGCCCCCTCCCCCATCCCCGTCTTATCGGACCGAGAGCTGGGAGGGATCCTGGAGGGCGATGGAGATGTGGCTGAGCTCTCCTGACCCTCCCAGGTGGGTGTCAACACTTGTCAGGTGCAGGACCCCCAGTGACCCATACGGAGTGGCTTTCCTGGAGTTTGTTATGAGGGATGGCTCTCTGGGAGGGCCGGGAGGGACAAAGACGTTGGGAAATGTCGGGGATGTCAAAACAAGATAATCCGATGAGGATGGAGTGGGTGACTGGTGACCTACTTTTCTCTGAGCCATGGTTGGTTCATTTCTTCTCCTCCCCTTTCTCTCAGAAACAATGGAAAAGCCTGGAAATAACAGGCCTCAGGTGAGCAGCCTCAGTCAGCGTGGCCTGGAAAGACTGAGCAGGTCTTTCTTTTCAGGTGGACTGAGGGGAGAGTGCTGAGCCTGGAGTCCAGAAGACTCGGGTCCTCATAGCAAGCCACTGCTTTCCCAGCTGTGAAATGGGGATAAGAAGAGCGTCTCCATCACCAAGCACAGTGCCCAGTAGAGGCACATCCCTGAAACCCCTCTACTGAAGGACCTTGGCAGTACTCGCTGACATCCGATGGTCTTCTGCAGTGAGGACGGGTATCTGTGATCTTGGGATGAAGCAGGCTTGGTGGGCAGGGGTGGCACGCCCATTTCATGAAAGGGGCAGCAGGCTCCTGTGACGTTCAGGGCCTTGCTCAGTCACCCTGGACCCAAATGGCACAGCAGGAATTCATTCTCAGGTTCTCCGAGTCCTGAGTCCAGGGCGTTTTGTGTGCTGGGGAAGGGGCTTCAGTGATCCCTTCACTGAACCCCACCAGGGGAAACTGGTTCCCCCAGGTGAGGTGCTGGAATGTGTGGGAGGGAAATGGGGAGCCAGCCCTGCTTGCCACCAGCCACCAGGCATTCCCCATGGGACTGTTGTCATTTTTGTCCTGATCAAGAGGATGTGTGGGCATTTGTGCCAATCAGTGGATACCAAGACCAGGAGGGAGGAAGCCTGTGGCTATGTCTGTGACCCCAGGATGCTAGCTGGCCCCCTTCTCTGCCACCGACTCTTGGGGCTCACCATCATCCCTTTTCCTCATCAGCAGAACGGGAGAAGGGACTAGACCAGGTGTTCCCTGAGGTCAGATCTAGATGTCAGATCTATCATCAGCTCAGTCAGGAGGCTGAGCTCCACGTTAAAGGGGGAAGAGCGAGGGAGCCTTGATGGGAGTGACCTGGAAGAAATCCCTTCCCTCTTGGAGTTTCCTCTCCTGCCCTGTGAAGTGGAGATAATTTCTTAGGCTGTGTAAAGGTCTATTGAGCGTTTTAGAGGGGTTGCTGAGGCTTGAGAAGGCAAGTGACTGGTCCAGGATCACACAGCCAGGAAGGGATGGGGTAGATATTCTGACTTCAAGGCCATGGCTCTGCCCACTCTGCCTGACCCATTGTCCACAAGATGCCCTCCAGCTGGTCAGTTAACAAGCATTGATTAAGCAGCTGCCTTATCCAGGCGCTGTGCTGTGTTGGAGATACAAAAAAGGGGGGGTGAGTCCCTGCTGGCATGACACTAACGGAGACGATGGAAATCATGACATACCAGCTAGAGGCTGGGTGGGCAGGAGAAATTGGAGAGAATCAACAGGGTCTCCCCTTGGAGCTTGGGTGGGATTCTAGCAGGGATTTAAAGGAAGCCAGGGAAGCGAAGAGACAGACACAGAGGGAGAGAGCTCCAGATGCAGCGGCTGTGCAGATGCCCCCCAGCGTCAGGAGATGGAGCGTCCTGGGGGAGGAAGAGCCAGGAGACCAGCACCATCGGATCCCAGAGGGCGTGGGGGGAGGAACAAGAAGACGGCTTTGGATGCCGCAGGATTTGATACTGGACTTTGAAGAGAGTGAGCCAGTAGCTAATTTTGGGGCACTGGTATACGTATCCTTTCTTTGGTGGCCAAATGAAGGCTGGACTGGAGCGGGCGGGGGGGGGGGGGGGTGAGACTTGAGGCAGCGGACAGACCCCTATTGTAGTCATCCAGGCAGGAGAGGATGACGGCTTCCCCTGAGAAGGTGGTGGTGGTGGTGGTGGTGGTGATGAAAGTGGCTTGTCTCCCTGAATCTTTTTTTTAGGCAGTTGGAGTTAAGTGACTTGCCCAGGGTCACACAGCTAGTAAGTGTCAAGTGTTTGGTCTGAGGCCAGATTTGAACCTAGGTCCTCCTGACTCCAGGGCCGGTGTTCTATCCACTGCGCCACCTAGCTGCCCCTTCTCTGAATCTTTTCCTGCAGCACTTGATTGTAGAATTACTTGAGTTGTTGGCTCGTACTGGGGACCAACTATACGCCCAGTTCAGGGCTAGGTGACACATGAGGAAGAAAGAGTAGAATTCTTCTCCTGCGTTCCAGCAGAGGGATTGGAAGCCGTGAGTGGAAATTACAGGGGGGCGGCTGTGGTTCAATAGAAGGAGGAATTTCTTAAAAATAAGAACTGCCCAATAATAGGATTCCTTGTATAGGTAGAGTTCCCTGTCACTGGAAGTCTTTAAATAGCAGCTGGATGAGCGTTTGCCAGGGTTGTTGTAGAAGGGATCTCTGTTTTGGGATGGATTGGGCCAGACGACCCTGGGCCCTTTCAGCTCTGAGAGGCTGTGATTTGTAGCTGCATAAATGCCTCAGTATAGTTGACAAGATGAGAGACACCTCAGGTGTTTCAGGTCTGCCTCAGAGCTGGGAAAGGGAACTGTTAGAAGAGTTTCCTTTTTTTTCAAAATTGCTTTTTACTATCTTTTGCTTTCACATCAGTCATCCCTCCTTCTTTCACACCTTCTATCCCTCCCACCCCACAAGCCATCCCTCATAAGAATTTTTTTAATAAAGAAAAAAAGGAAGAGAAAACAATTCGGCAAAACTTAGTATGCTGAATACGTTGGAATATACTGGAAAAAACACGTTGATAAAATAATGATGGCTCCATCCCCCACCCATCTCTGCCAAAGAGTAGAGGGAGCTGTTTTCTCCTAGCTCTTCTTTATGACCAAGCTTGTTCTTGTAATTTTTGCCAAATTCCTTGTCTTGTTATGGTGATTCTCTCTGTTTCTGTGGCCATAGTCGTTGGGTATATTGTTTTCCTAGTTTTGCAGAATTTTGTACCAGTTGTCATTGGATCACATCATGTGTATCTTTTGCTGTTTCTCTGTATTTGAGAGATGGGACAGAAATTTCCTTTTAAACAAGAACTAAAGTGCCATTTTCGTGGTCTAAAATCTCAGCTTTGCAAGGGATAAATTCCCTGTTTTTATTGTGTGGGAAATCTCCCCATCTTCAAAGGTTTGCACTGGACGGAGGAGTTATGGATGGAATGTTACCTGCTGACTTAGTGGTCAGCTGCATTCATCACTTATGTTTTTACCGAGGAGAGTCCTTCTGGGAGCTTTGTCCATTGCTTCTCACATTTGTAAACACTGTCAGGAAATTATTTTTGCTAGGAAAATAAAACAGAGGGACACGGGCATAGGATGTTGCCAGCGTAGGTTGGTGGTGTTTACATTTTTCTCACATGAATGGACAGGCAAGGGGGGAGTTGTTGAGAAGTGACCGTAGTGGGGATAAAAGCAACCTCAATAAGCCTTTGAAGAAAAAGAAAGACAGAGCAGATGAATGACACGTAGTGCCCAAACTGTGAAATACAGCAGGGCAAGAAACCCATTAGTATGTGGGTCTTGGACAAGTGCTGTAGGTGCACTTCATGTTTACAAGAAGGTTTCCTTACAACCCTGTGCTAGAGATAGTGTGGGAATGGCCCCGATTCGAGAGAGCCAAGGGGAAGGGAAGCCCAGGGAAGGAGGGGGCTGGCAATCAGCAGATGAGGAAAAGGAGAGAGCCCAAAGTAGAGGTCAGTGATCTTGACCTTGATTCTTGGCCAGGTTCTAGAACACATTCTTAAATGGATGTTTACATGGAGAGCAATTAGCAAGGAATGCAGTCTTTCCAAAGAGTCAGCATGACTTCAGCCTAACCAGGTCTTGCCAGACTAGCATCGTGTCCTCTTTTTAAAGCAGGGATGCTAGTTTTCTAAACCCAAGCAGGTGGGGAGAGAGCAAGGATTTCCCAGAGTTGGTGCTGGTTTCCATTCTGGAGGAGGGAAGTGTCCTGACTCTCTAGAATCTTCAAAGGATTGTCAGCAGGATTTTAAGGAGGAACAGGAAAACAGAACAGAGGGGGCGTTGTGTCTCCATCTCATCTTGCCCTAGTGCAGATACTTCCCATAACCCAATCTTTGTCTCCTCTTTTTTTCACAAGCTCCTTCTAAGAGTTTGTTCATTTCCTTGCCGGAGTTTGCCTTGGTGATGCTATATTACACACTGAAGTATTCAGAAGTTAGGTCTGGAGAGTACTTGACTGAGATGGTGTTTGAGGCCCCAAGCATGCCGATGATGGGTTATTGGCCAGAGCTAGAGCGAATGTGGCTTAGATCCCCAAAAAGACGTCGGCCTAGAGTCTTGCAGAATCTACTCCAAAGGGTTTGAAATGAAAATGAGGGCAAGGTGGAGAGGGGGGCACCTGTCAACTCTGGTACCATGGAGAGCAGCCGGTAGAGCTGAGAGGGAACAGAAGATGAAAGGACTGGGATTCAGGAGAGACAGTATCCAGAATGAGAGCCAGCAGGAAAAGTCACGACCCCGGGGGGTCTGCAGAGCCAGCCACCAGGCATGGATCATGGGCAGGGGGACTCAAACATCCCGCCTGCAGGCAGGTGGCGGTTCTGGAAGGCTTGAGAGGCAGGGGGACCACAGTGTATATCGAATGAGATACTATTTGTGGAACCTAAGAGCTTCCTCTGAACAAGGTGCCGTCAGTGAAAGAACGTGGGTTGAGAACCTGCTGTGGCAAAGGTTGGGGATGCAAAAGCAAACCCAGCCGTTCCCGCCCCT